CAGAAAGAGCAAAGAGAGAGCAGAGAGAGACCAGAGAGAGACCAGAGAGAGCAGGGAGAGACCAGAGAGAGACCAGAAAGAGAGCAGAGGTTGAGACCAGAGAGAGACCAGAGAGAGACCAGAAAGAGACCAGAGAGAGCAGAGAGAGACCGGAGAGAAAAACTGAAGAGAGACCGGAGAGTGACTTGAGAGAGAGCAGAGACAGAGCAGAGCGTGAGACCAGAGAGAGCAAACAGAGACCAGAGAGAGAGCAGAGAGCGAGATAGAGACTAGAAAGTGATCAGAGAGAGCAGACAGAGAGAGAGACCCCCTCCTCCACTGGCCGAGCTTGTCTGATCTATGTTCTGTGATGTTCCTCTCATTTCATAGATATTAGATCATTTCTTTTTAGGCAAAACATAAAAACGGCTTTAGTTTGGCTCAACAAGAACTTACGGGAACCACTGATTTGATTAACGTCTCAATGATAAACTGTGTGTGAAATATCACTGCAGCTGAAAGACTTTATTCTGTGTCTGACGGGAAGGAGCTTCTCTGAGTGCCGTGGTGAGAGCAGAGAGAGACCAGAGAGAGACCAGAGAGAGAGCAGAGAGAGAGCAGAGAGAGAGAGCAGAGAGAGACACCAGAGAGAGACCAGAGAGAGATCAGAGAGACACCAGAGGGACCAGAGAGACCAGATAGAGGGCAAAGAGGGACCAGAGTGAGACAAGAGAGAGACCAGAGAAAGACCAGAGAGAGATCAGAGAGAGAGAGCGGTGAGAGTGAGAAAGAGCGCGACCAGATTTCAGCCTTATTTCAATCTCGTTTTATGTGGTAACAGCACAATTTGCTTGAATGTGATGTTTTTAAGACCTGAGAAACTGAATCTACATTTCTCTCTTTATAAAAAGCAGGTTTAGAGCAGACACTTTTGATTCTCACTGAAATCTTACTTCAAGCCCTGACACAAGAAAAATGTTGTTATAGAAGCAGCCAATTTCTTCTTTGCTGCTATTTGAATAATTCTGATGTAGGTCATTGGCTCGAAGCTCTGTGATCTCTTCAACATAAATCTTCTCCGTCACTTTACAACACACAATCGATATCTTGTCTTTTCTCTCTATTCGAAAGACAAAGCTCTTAATTTACCGCTCCATCGACAATTCCGAGCCGAGACACGGCCTTGATCTCTGGGTAATCGCTGAAAAGACAAGATTGCAGACGGAGAGAGCTATCAAAATGAGTTTCCAATGCAAAGTGGCTGGGTGATGCAAGAGGAGGAGCTCAGATTAGAGCCGCTTATCCTCCATGTTGACAAGAGCGAGCGTAGGTGTGCATGTGTGTGTTTAAGTAACTCTCTCTGGTCTCTTTCTGGTCTTATTGTCTTGTCTCACTCTGGTTTCTATATGGGATCTCTCTGGTCTCTCTCTCAGGTCTCTGTCTCTGGTCTTTCTCTGGTCTCTCTCTGTTCTCTCTCTGTTCTCTCTCTGGTCTCTCTCTGGTCTCTCTCTGGTCTCGTTCTGGTCTCTTTCTCAGGTCTCGCTCTCTGGTCTTTCTCTGGTCTCTCTCTGATCTCACTCTGGTCTCTCTCTGATCTCTCTCTGGTCCCTCTGGTCTCTCTCTCTCGCTCTCTCTCTCTGGTCTCTCTCTGATCTCCCTCTGGTCTCACTCTGGTCTCTCTCTGATCTCTCTCTGGTCTCTTTCTGGTCTCTCTCTTCTGACGTCTCTCTCTGCTCTCTCTGATCTTTCTCTGGTCTCTCTCTCATATCTCTCTCTCTCTCTGGTCTCTCTCAGGTCTCTCTCTGGTCTCTATCTCTCTCTTTGGTCTCTCTCTCTCTCATATCTCTCTCCCTCTGGTCTCTCTCTACGTATACAAATCAAGAACAACACATCATTTTTGTTTTCTGGCTTGTAATAAAGTGAACAAAATTACCTTAGAGAAAACCAGGGAGAGAGATCAGCGAGAGATCATAGAGAGACCACAGAGAGACCAGAAAGAGACCTCCTCCTCCTCTGGCTAAGCATCTCTGATCTATGTTCTGTGACGTACCTTTCACAGATATAAAAAATACCTAGAAATCTGTTTTGTTCTTCGTACGTAAATGAAAATGAAAGTAGCTACATTTTTTTTCCTGTCAATCAGATACTAACACGTCTATTCCAGGGTCCAGTCACTCCCTCTCGGTCCAAACTCCTCTAACAACACCTGCTTACTGCTTTGTACTGGGTGTGAATCCATTCGACCAATGCCCGAGTTCAGCACATCCTCCAGGAGCCTCCAAACCACTTACAAGCAGCACCAGTCCCTGCTCTCTCATCACTCCGTCTGCTTTTATTCCCTCTCTGCTGCTCTCTCGTGTCGTGTTGTGCTGGGTCTCTGGCTAAATGCCTTTTCATTATCTGTCTCTGGTTGAAATCAGATAATCGCTCCAATGAAAACCTAAAAAATACCCAGACAGAGAGAGAGAGAGAGACTAGAGAGAGAGAGAGGGACTAGAGAGAGAGAGATACACCAGTAAGAGACAAGAGAAAGACACCTGAAAGAGAGACCAGAGAGAGACCCTAGAGATTGACCAGAGAGAGACTAGAGAGTGACTAGAGAGAGACTAGAGAGTGACCAGAGAGAGACTAGAGAGAGGCCAGGGAGAGACCAGAGAGAGACCAGAGAGAGACCAGAGAAAGACCAGAGAGGGACCAGAGAGGGACCAGAGAGAGACCAGAGAGAGACCAGAGAGGGACTAGTGAGAGACCAGAGAGGGACCAGAGAGAGATCAGAGAGAGAGAGAGACTTGAGAGGGACCAGAGAGAGACCAGAGAGAGACTAGGGGCAGACTAGAGAGAGACCAGAGAGAGACCAGAGAGAGAGAGAGACCAAAGATAGAGAGAGACTAGAGAGAGACCAGAAAAACCCAGAGAGCCACTCCACCAACATTTGTCGCACCAGTCTTCTGTTCTTCCATCACTTTGTCTGTGTGTGTTTTATTCCCTCTCTCTCTCTGTCGTGTCTCTGTCCGAATGCCTTTTCATTGTCTGTCTCTCGTCTCTCGCTGAAATCAGATAATCTCTGCAATTAAAACCCACCAATACCCGGCTTAGCCTTGTACGCCGCTGCATGCTGATGACTGACACGGCAAGCTTAAGCTGGAGTGGGTGATAAGGCGAGAGGACGTGGACTGATGTGGAGTTGGCGGTGAAACTCTTGACGTGTGGTATTGTGTGTGGATGAGAGGTGGAGGTGGAGGTTGTTAGAGGATTTCAAAAGGTGGCATTTCTGTTCGGGTTATGAAACGCTGCTGTCGAACGCCATGACAACTGTTGATGGATTTCTTTCCGTTTTGTATAAAGAGGGAGGCAGAAGTCGCAAGGAGAAAGTTTAGCTCGACATGGAAACCTGATGGATAAGTGGAGGTTCTGGGTTAAGTTTCCTGAGCTTTGAATGTCAGAAAAAAAGTAAAAAGTCAGGTCTGTTTAATGCATCAACGTTTTGTGACTATTTACCTGCAAGGCTTTAGCTGTAGAGGAAATAAAAGATGGGTTTGAATTAGGGCTCTCCAACGATTAACATTTTTAATCGAATTAATTACAGCTTACACATTAATTAATTGCAATTAATTGCGTTTCAAACTATCAGCAAAGTATATTTTTCTGTAAATGGTTGTTTGAATGAAAAGATAAATGACAGCATAGTGTGCATATACTGTATTTGTTTATTATACAATAAATCCATATAAAATGGCAGACTCAGACAAAAACTATTGTTTGTTACAGAGGAGGGACATTTCAAAACAGTCTGAAATGCAGAATGTTATTAAATCTGTTTGATTTGCTCTCACCATTACTTTTTTTGGCACAACCAACATGATCTGGTAGTGGACGGGAAAATTAGGTACCCCAGCTTTAATTTAGCGAGTGCGCTTCGGGAGACGACACGGAGGAGACTGAGGCTCCGTTGTCCAGCTTCAGCGCTGTATATATTGTGTGCACTGGGTACGCAAAGACGCGTACACTACAAGCATAGAATAGTTCTGTGCGTGTATGGTCTTGGATATGACGTTCCAGCGGCGCCGTTTGCCGTGATCACAGCCGCTGGAGGTGGGAACTGCTGTCCAGTGTCAGCTCGCAGAGTTCATACAGGAAACAGCAGCAAGTGGCCCGCGGTCACGCGTGTTTTCTTTTAAAGCGTGGATTCCTGCTCTGTGACCATCTCACACACGCATGTGTCCGCGGCATTCATAGTGTTATTATGGGATGGATGGGCATGCGTCAAAAAAAATAACGCGATTAATGAAAAAAATCAATTAACGTGCGTTAACACAATCATTTTGACAGCCCTAGTTTGAATCAATGTTTCTACTTGGTCCCACTCTATTCAATGAAATGTATTTGTGTCTCAGCCTAAATCACAACAGCGCTCATCTCGGAAGAATTTACAAAGTTGTCAATTTCTCAACAACAGATCAGAGATTCGAACAAACAAATTGCAATAATAACAAACATATGGGAGTCTTTGGTGCTGAGGGAGCAGGATGACCACTGTCCATAAATGTCCTGGATGGTCACTGTCCTCAGATCGTCCTGCATCGTTTCTACTCTACCCCAGCACCAGGTCCTTCTTTAGTCCCTCTTGGTGCTGGTTCTATCCAGGTGGAGCTGGTACTAAAATGTTCTATGTCTTGGTTTTGTTTGAGGCTAAAAAGGTTATTCTACTTTTGTTTTATTAGAAGACAAAAGGTAAAGAACCTTTCCCAAAGCCGGAAGCCATGGTTACCAAGGAATTTACCCTGATACTGGCTTGTTGTGGGAAGGTTACTAGAACCTACCAGATACTAAAGTGTTATGGCAATGCACCCAGGCACCAGGTAAAGTAGAGTTGAGCAGGGTACTGCAGAGCGGAGCCAGATCAAGACCAAGACCAAGACCAAGTACAGTTGGTGGAAACAGGACTAAATATTTCTTGGAAGAAAAGCTTTGATTTAATTTTTGAATCTATATTTTTCTGGTTCTTCTCCTCCCTCTCTCAGGTTCCTCCGATCCTATTGGACAAACAGTTCTCAGACTTCACCCCCGACATCACCCCCATCATCCTGGCAGCGCACACCAACAACTACGAGATCATCAAACTGCTTGTGCAGAAGGGAGTGTCCATGCCCCAGCCACACGAGGTGAACACACACACACATACAGACAGACACAGACACACACACAGAGACATACACACACACACAGAGACATACACACACAGAGACATACACAAACACATACACACACACATAGAGACACACACACACATACGCACACACACACACACACACACACACACACACACACACACACACACACACACGCAAACACACACACACACACACACTCCTACTAAACATACTAGCATATACTTTGAGGCTTATCAACAGGTCAGAGAAAAACAATAGATATGTGGAGGAGCCGCTTGGATTGGACCATTTTCTTTGCTCTTGTCCAGAGAAAAATGCTGAATACTTTATTAGCATTAAAAATAAGCATTCCTCCAGTAGATTTCTGCTAGGTCTGCTTGTTTCGGACCAGGAATCCTCTCTGGTCTGGATCAGTGTAAAACCATGAACAATGAAAGTAAGTAAGTAAGTAAGTAATCTTTTATTTATATACCTTCTTTTCACTGCACATCGGAGTCTCAAAGCGGTTTACAAGTGTGATTTTTGGGAGTGGGGGTGCCAGTACAGGAGGCACATGCAAGACCTATTGTACATATTTTTAGTGGTAGGGGAAACCGGAGCACCCGGAGGAAACCTACGCAGACACGGGGAGAACATGCAAACTCCACTCAGAAAGGCCCTGGTCCAACCGGGATTCGAACCCAGGACCTTCTTGCTGAGAGGCGAGAGTGCTATCCACTCAGCCACCGTGCCGCCGAAAGAATGTACTGCAGTAATAATTACAGTTAGAAAAAAAGCTACTTAGGACTTGCCGCCGCTTCAAGTAGATAAAGTGAGTCCAATACAACCCGTAGTATTCTAAAGCAGCCTGTTACACAACCCCGTGTGTGTGTGTGTGTGTGTGTTTGCTGCTGCAGGTGCGTTGTAACTGCGTGGAGTGTGTGTCCAGCTCCGACGTGGACAGTCTGAGACATTCTCGCTCTCGCCTCAACATCTACAGAGCCCTGTCCAGCCCCTCGCTCATCGCCCTCTCCAGCGAAGACCCCTTCCTCACCGCCTTCAGGCTGAGCTGGGAACTGCAGGAGCTGAGCAAGGTGAGGCCTCCACCCCGGGGTTTGATCTGAGCCTGGGATAATGAGAGCGTAATGATGAACTCAGGGTTAATATAAGCACTGAGCCACACAGACACTGAGACATTACCAGTTCAAAGGAAAATGGAAAAATATTCAAATCTGGCTCTTGTTGCGATACACATGCCATCTGCTCCTGCCTAAAACATTTACAGTATCTATGTGATAATAAAACAGTTTCAGGGGACGATAGTGGCTCAGGGGGTAGAGTCTTTGGGCCTAATGGTTTGATCCCCCCACGACCCATGTCATCTGCTCCCACTGAAGTCTGCTGTCGTTGTGTTCCGGTGGAAGTCACTTATTTATTCATGTATTGATTTATTTGATAAGGACACGAGTACACAAGCTTTTAACATTATACACATTATAATATTCACATTATACAAAAGCAATTTACCTCCAACTCATTGATGCTCAAACAACTTATTTGTTTAAAAAAAAAAAGACCAGAGAGCCACCAGAGAGAGACCAGAGAGAGAGACTAAAGAAAGACCAGAGAGAGAGATTCCAGAGAGAGCAGAGACCAAGGAGAGACCAGAGACCAAGGAGAGACCATGGAGAGACCAGAGAGATAGACTAAAGTAAGACCAGAGAGAGAGAGAGACTAAAGAAAGATGAGAGAGAGAGACCAGAGAGAGAAAACCCAGAGAGAGACTAGAGAGAGACTAAAGAAAGATGTGAGAGAGAGACCAGAGAGAGACCAGAGAGAGAGAGTTAAACCAGAACCTTCCACAAGCTGCTATCAGTCTGAACAAAAAGCTAATGATCTTGTATTGAAATGTTTTTTTTGATTGGTTTCACAGCAAAAATATTTCTTGTACTTTTTAGCTTGTTACATGTTTGTACTTGTCTGGTGCACACTGGGGCCTCTTGCACATGTATTCCATTGTGATTTTACTGAAAACAAACTGAATCCAAACATTATGATAACCTTAGACTTGTGATGTTGCAGGTGGAGAATGAGTTTAAGTCAGAGTACGAGGAGCTGTCTCATCAGTGTAAGCAGTTTGCCAAAGACCTGCTGGACCAGACTCGCAGCTCCAGAGAACTAGAGATGATCCTGAACTACAAGGACGACCACAACCTGCTGGAGGAGGACGGAAACGACCTCGCCCGCCTCAAACTGGCCATCAAGTACCACCAGAAAGAGGTGAGCGCCCCCTACAGGCCTGCAGACCAAGGCACAATAGAGAGAATACAGAGAGTATCAGGCTGATCGTCCGAGTAGATTCTCTAAATCAGTGTTTTTCAACAACTGTGCCGTATGATATTGTCTGATGTGCCGTGAGAAATTCGCCAACTTTGTCTAAAAATAACCGCATTCACTATTGACGAGCGCTGACTTGTCTTGAACTGTGGCGTAACCACATAATACTTTTTTATGTCAGTAGGTGGCAGCAGAGAGCTAAGTACTTTGAACTTTAAGAATTGGATGCAACCACCAAATGTAACAAGTAGCCGGGTGGCGAGAAATGTAAGAATTGGACGCGACCAACCAATGTAAGAGGCAGCGGGGAGAATTTTGGCGAGTGAGAAGTGACAGTGATTGAGACGTTTTGAAAAGGAATTATGCCATTTCTGAACAGGATTCACATCCTCCGCTCTGACCCCGGGGCCGCTTTGACGACAGCTCAGCGAACGCACATCCGCAACATGGACCCTATTCGCGTGGACAGAACCATGGAGTCGCGGACAGAACCATCTGCGCGGTCCTTGACTCGTGTTCAGAACCATCTCCTGTGTCTCCCCCAGTCTCTCCTGTGTCTTTTGCCGAAGCGCAAAACTCCTGAATTTAAAGCTCGGATACCTACATTATCATCATGCATTTAAAATGCATGTTATTTGTGCAAAAAGTAAAATGTTGTGAACAAATCAAACAGAACACACAGCAGGGCATTTTTTTAATCATTATTTTTCACATATAAGAGCCCTCTGAGTCATTATTTGACTTTTTGGGCTTTTATGTTTTTTTTCCCCACTTTATTCCCAAACCCTTGTAAGTAAGTAAGTAAGCTTTATTTATATACCGCCTTTCACAGACCAGAGTCACAAAGCGGTTTACAATTGTTATTTTATGGGCACTTGTCTCTCACTCCACACAGAGATGGGAGCGGGGTCGCTGAACAGGAGGCGCATGCCAGACCTATTGTACATATTTTTAGTGGTAGGGGAAACCGGAGTACCCGGAGGAAACCTACGCAGACACGGGGAGAACATGCAAACTCCACTCAGAAAGGCCCTGGTCTGGCCAGGATTCGAACCCAGGACCTTCTTGCTGAGAGACAAGAGTGCTTTCCACTCAGCCACCGTGCCGACCTTGTTAACTCATTGTAATGAGAAATATTAAACCAAGCTTAATGTCAAGGCCTGGATTTAAGCACTTCGATAAGAATGACTTTATACTGTAAATATAGGCTACAGAGTATATTTTTTCACATTTTTTTCAATGAAAAAAGTGTGCCTTGGCTCAAAAAAGGTTGCAAAACACTGCTCTAAATAGCTTCTAAATGTCCTGGATCATTACAGTACTTAGACCCTCCTGCGTCACTACTACTCTACCCCCGATTGGGAGCGTTTCCATTGACTGTTTAATTAGTACTTTTTTAGTACCTGTTTGGTCCTGGTTCTATCCAGGCCGAGCTGGTACTAGAGACATAGGCCACAGTGCTGCTGGAAGCCATCGTTATTGCGGCCTTTCCACAGATACTGGTTTGTTGTGGATGGTACATTGATGGTAGTTAGATAGACAGACAAATAATATAGATAGATAGATGGATAGTTGGATAGTTGGATGGATGGACAGATAGAGATAGACAGACATAGATAGATAGATAGTAAGATAGACAGACAGATAGATGGATCGATTCAACAGCAGAAACAAATCCATCCATACATACATCAATACATATTCGTCCCACAGTTGTGAAATTCCAGTGTTGCATCACAAGTTACACAACAGATGAATGAGGAGCACACAACACAAGACAAGAGTAGTATCTAAGGTGGTGGAGTTTAGGGGTAAAGCTACTGCCAAAGAATGGGAAAAAACTGGGACCACAATGTTACAGAACACAGAAAGCGTTTACACTCTGAGCTCTTTGATGTTGGCGTGACGTCTCATGATCCATAGCGGCTGTAGCTAGCTGCTTGTGTCCTCTGAGCAGCAGGTTGGGGGTTTGAATCCTGCTCCTCACAGGAACCAATCACTCATTCACAAACACACAACGTGTTGTGTGTTTGTGAATGAGTGATTGGTTCCTTGGTGTGAAGTGCTTTGAAAAGGAAGAAAACTGCCATAAATATATAGACACCATTTACGACGGCAATGGCAAAGCCATTTGCAGCTCGCTACCCCCTGAGGCGCAAAGCATTATGGGTAATGTGCAAATATAGTAGAGAATCATTTGGTGAGTTTGTGGTCGGAACGTGGCTTCAACACCGTCCACAGTGAAGCAGACGGTGGATTTACATTTAAACACATACAAACCATCTGTGGTAGATGAATGAGGATTTTAAAACAATCAAAGACACTTTTTATACAGGGACCTGACTTCCCACAAACACTAAATGTTTCTTTTTTCTGTTTATGTTTATATTATAGTTCTGTATCTCTGTCTCTGGTTTCTCTGGTCTCTTTTGTCTCTCAAGTTTCTCTATGGCCTCTCTCTCTCTTGTCTCTCCCTCTAGTTTTTTTTTTCTCTCTCTTGCTTGTCTCTCTCTCCGGTCTTTCTTTCTGGTTTCTTCCTGGTCTTTATCTGGTCTCTCTGGTCTCTCTCTTTGTCCCTCTCTGGTTTCTCTGGTCTCTCTCTGATCTCTCTCAGGTCTCTCTGGAAACTCTAGTTTCTCTCTCTCTCTGGCCTCTCTCTCTAGTTTATTTCTCTCTCTCTGGTCTCTCTCTTTGTCTCTCTCTGGTTTCTCTCTGGTCTTTCTCTGGTCTCTCTCTGGTCTCTCTGGTCTCTTTGGTCTCTCTCTGGTCTCTCCCTAGTCTCTCTCTGGTTTCTCTCTGGTCTCTCCCTCTGGTCTCTCCCTCTGGGCTTTCTCTGGTCTCACTGGTCTCTCTCTTTTTCTGGTCTCTTCCTAGTCTCTCTCTGGTCTTCGCGTGTGTGCGTGCGCGTGTGCACGCGCACACATACACACACACATACACATAGACAGACAGACAGACAGACACAGAGACAGATAGACACACACACACACACACAGACACACACAGACGCACACCACACATACACATACACACACACAGACGCACACCACATAGACAGACACACAGGCCTTTTACACCCATGTCTTTCCCATTACTACAGTTGTGTGTTTGTCCTGGAGCGTTAGCGCTGCAGCCGCACTGATAACACAACATTACCCATGATGCATTAGAGCCGCTCGTGTCGCAGAAATGGGGGTTAAAGACACGTTACTCTGTCGCATCTGAAGGTGACGAGTATGAAGAGAACTCGTCATCTGCAACCGTTTCCCTCGTCTCCTCTCAGTCTCTCTCTGGTCTCTCTCTAGTTTCTTTCTGATGTCTCTCTGGTCTGCCTCTGGTCTCTCTGGTCTTTCTTTGGTCTCGCTCTGGTCTCTTTCTGGTCTCTCTCTGGTCTCTCCCTATTCTCTCTCTGGTTTCTCTCTGGTCTCTCCCTCTGGGCTCTCTCTGGTCTCACTGATCTCTCTCTTTTTCTGGTCTCTCCCTAGTCTCTCTCTGGTCTTCTCTGGGTGCTCTCTAGTCTTTCTCTGGTCTCTCCCTAGTCTCTCTCTGGTCTCTCTTTGGCTGGACCAGCGAGACCAGCAGATTGTGGTTGAGACTGTTTCATGTTCCAACATTGGCTTTGCTTTTATACAGAGAATACATAACAGTGTTTTTGACTTAAAAAGATTTATTTGTGTAGCACTTTTCATGCAAATAACAGCACCTCATTGTGGTTTAAACACAAAGAGAGACTTTGCACGAGAAAAACTGATCCATCAACTGAGCAGAGCAATCATTAGACGAGAGATGACAAATGAAAGGGAAGTATAATGATAAAGACAACATTAGTGGATTCATGGTCAGTATATGTGTAGAATAACATGTATATTAGAATATCTGTGTCTATATTATAGTCATGCACATTTGATATTCCTCCAACCCGTCCATAATATAAACGTTTTTGCCTTGATGCGTTTGCACTTTACTTCCTACAGTATAATTCAATAACCAATTTTGCTTAAAGGAGCTATACCCGTTTCTGCAACACATTTTCAGTTTGAATGTTTAGCACTGCCCCCCAACTCGCTCACAGGCTTCTCATTTCCCGTACGCTCTCTTCCCATGAAACCATCTAGTTTTATTTGCGATCTGATACGTATGCAAACATTAGCATTAGTGCAACTTCTTGTAAGCTGATGAAATGGTACAAAAGCAACGCACTGCTAACAAAATCTATAACTGAAAAAACTCCCGCAGGTCTCTCCCATAGACAAGTCTCTCCAGAGGATACGATGTAAGCTAGCTATGTTCACCCAGGCTTGATTCCTTCTTTGGCCATTTTTCCGCTTTAGTTCCCTCTTCTCTTCCTCATTGTGTCGTTTGAGCTGTTTTGCTGTGTCTGCAGTTACAGCCAGAGGAAGTATAGCCACTTTCCGCAAACATTCTGCTCTTGTTTACCAGCGCTGTAGAAGCTAGAGGAGGCAGCCTGTTCTAACAGCGCCACTCCTCGTTCTGTGATTGGAGGAGAGCAGCGTCACGCTAAGTCTCTACTCAGCACTTTTATACGGCCTGAATTCATACACAGGTTGAATCAATGAGCTGAAGTTTTTGATTAAATTATGGATTATATAATACAACTTGTATGTAGCAATAAGCATTTTTATGAACTCATTAGAAAATAAATCGGGTAAAGCTTCTTTTAGTTGATTTTTAAATACATTTTAATTGCAATCTATCTACATGTCTATCTGTCTATCTATCTATCTATCTTTCTATCTAAAAATCAACTCCAGGGAACAATGTCGTAACATGGTTAAAAGCTCCAAAAAGCCCATTTAGCAGAATAGGCCTCCTTTAAACCAGTCCTGGACCTCTTCCAAGTGCCTGTGTGTGTGAGCAAGGGTCTTTGTAAAGGGCAGCCGCAGGGTCCTCAGCCCTATCAGAGACACACTGCTCCATCTCTGTCTGTGTGTGATCGAAGGCTGCAGTGTAGTGAGTGAGCAGAGTGGATAATGAAGAGATCGCCCCGG